ACTAGTAAAGCTACCGCTTTTACAAACGAGCTCTTTAACTCAATAATAATTTTCTCATTTTATTTTATCGTTGGAAAATAGCGGGAATCGTTTAATTTTAAATTTTAGAAACTTGGATACTTTGCCATGGACTATCAGCCTATAAATTTACTAGTCTGCGTAGGTGAAGTTGCGATAATTACGACATTAAGAAGCCTACGACTCTACAAATTAAAATATTTAACTAAGGCTTTTAATTATAAAAAACAGCGCCATAGTATTTTTAGACGTAAAGAAAGCCTTCTCTCAAAGTTGCGATTTTTTATGCCTTTAAGAGAGTGATAAAAACCTTTTTTCGAACAGAAAAATTACTGTTTAAAATTCCCTTTTAGACTTTTAGGCTCCTTTAATAATACACACGCTTTCTAGACTTTAAGCTCCCATAAACTATCCTGGAGGCAGTTACTAACAACACTTTGTTCGGCCGTATAGACGAAAACAATATATTAAACTTGCTTTTTAGGTAGTAAAGCTAAAACTTTCTTATAGCCCTATAGACTGAAAAGATACCACAAACGAAAGATCGAATATTGTTTTTATTGAAGTAAAATGAATATATATACACAATTTTAAATTAATCTTGATAGATTAAACCTGCCAGTTAAAATAAATATGAACGCAAAGAGCATACCCTCAGTTGTGAGGAATCTAATCTTTTTTTTTAACTGCGCACTTTACGTGGGTCATAAAATCACAATTCCGCATGTTAAGGTTATTTTTAAGATAATTGGTACGAGTTTCTCAAGCTCTACATTTATTTGCAGTCCATATAGCTGGCAATTCAAATTAAATTCCTTATTACTTGCCCAATACGCACACAATAAATATCCTGCAGCACTAATTATTGAAGACCCTAAACAACTATAAAATTATATGTATACTTTAGTAATTGGTTGTCTATTGGTAGATTAACGGCTGATCCTTTAAAAAGTTTAGCAATGAAACCACAAGAGATAAAAGAAAAAAGAAAAACAGAAGCCCCTAGTAATATTACTTGCAAGTTAGCAACGAAGAAAAGTTAACTTAAACCACATGAGTAAATAATTAAAAAGCGAACGCCTGCTAATATTATCTTATACCCGTTAATATGTAAACGTAGCAAACTTTACCTTAAAATATTTAGAAATCTCTAATGCATCCAATAATCGTGTAGGTTTCCGTTCTGCTTGTTTTCCTCCAACTCTCTTAAAAGTAAGCTGTATACGTAAAACTCAGCTACATTGGAGCTGCCAGTGAAAGTGCTGTTAGTTATAATTAAGACTGGTAGAAATGACTTAAACAGTCTTAAAGGTTGCTTCCTCTGTGCCTCGACCTACAAACGATTTAATTTGTAAATTACACTTTTGATTAAAAATTATGTATACTTATGTTTAAATACTATATTAATATATTTCAATTAACAGCTATTTGAAGTTGACGTGTATTCAATATAATTATTAATTAATTTACTAAATTTTATTAACTCTTTAAAGAAGACTGTTCCTAATTAACCCTATCTGTTGATTTAAAAGGGGTGCAAGAATTATGTGCAGTAAACAGATGCAATGCATATCAACTGAAGTATGACAGTTGTAAATAAATAAATAAAAAATAAAATTTAACCTTTATGATTAACCTTAATAAAATTTGCATCATACACTTTGTATCTATAAGATATTTTTCTTTTTTCGAGTTCAAATTTTACAGCTTCAACGAACTCTTTGGCCGGGGTCCTTTGGCTCTCATTCAGTCTTACTACGCTTAGGCTCCATAGCGTTTTTAAAAGTTCAATCAGTTTAGAAAAACCAGTATAGGTGTCCTTCAGCTGTCATCTGTTTAATATATTTAATTAAATCATGTAAAATACTGTTGTTCCTCTGCTTTACACTCATTTTAGACCCCATGCCACGTAGATTATTTTAAAATAAAAAAAAAGCGAAAGGAATTGGATGCTCCGCTTAGTCTTATTTTGGGCGCTCGTATACCTTCCGAGTTTTAGACACTAGTGCAACACCTCTTCACAAAGGGGCGATCCACGTGCAAATATAAATATTTGTTGAAAAACAAGAGGGAAAGACAGCTGTTAGACAGTTCTCTACTCTTTTTTATAAAATTATGGCGAAGGCATAATAAGATGGCTTTATCTATTAATTGTGTTGTTTTCCAGAGATACCTAAGAGAGCACAGGAAAAAAACCTAGATAAAAGAGCCCCGGTTGTTGCAGGGCTTCTATCAAAGTTACTTTTACTTTTTTATTTTAGCGTGTGACAAGAAACCTTGAACATTCTCAATTTATGATGCACACTAAATAAAAAGAAACCGTTTATATATTTGTTGAGACTCATTGTTGTAAGTTTGGTCGGGTATATCGATTGTAGATCATAGTGTTTATATAAAGAATATTTTTCTTCTCATAGCTGTTAAAAGCTAGATTTTTCAAAAACTCATTAGCACGGTAAAAGCTAAGGTGTTCCCCGACGATCTTAACCCCCGTACACGTCCCTTACCCATGAATGAAGAATTTATGACTTCGCTAATAATAATTTGTAATAATGGGAAGAGTAATTTGAAGGATCACAAAGCAACGTGTATATATCCTTTTTGTGAGGATCTTTACCTTGTTTCACTTGGTTTTAGAAAAAGCTGAGTAATTATATGTTCAAAATGCATTGATATTTTTAATTTACTTTACTTGATTCTTTTACTTAAAATTTTAATTTCCCATAAGGGGAGCTGTCATATATGCGAAGTTAAGTTTTACATTTTTTTAAGTTTAACTGTTGTATTATGCATAATTTACTTCATGCGATTATAACCTCACCCCCGATTTTCTTTCAGAGAAATATTTTTCTCTTCTGTTTTCAAAGTTGCTTGTTATCTTTTTAGTAATAATTTTCTTACTTGTTTTCTTCTATATATTGTTTCTAATTTTTTTATTTCTATTAGTTATTTAAGAGGCCTTTTATTTTAGTTACTAATGCCGTCTTAAAAACATTTTGCACTAATAAACGAAAAGTTCGCGTTGCACGGAGTGCTTTATAAATAGTAAAAATATTAAAAAAATGAATTCTATAAGGTCACCTTAAAAAGTAGGTATTAAAGTACCCAATCACTACTACATAAAGAACTAACTTGTTATATTCTTATCTTTCTTGATGTACTGAAGAAGTTATTAGATGGTGTGGTATTAAGTGTCATACAAAAGAAAAGCTACATTTAATGAGATAGTGATATTACGTCGGACAGTTAAACAGGCTACTGTAAATTCATATGGCGAAGAATGGCCCCTGCTTGTACCTCACGTTCCAAATTGTAAGTAAACTTATGGCGTGCAGCAGAGTATATACTGTGGTACAGATCGTAAACCGACATTTAATTGCATACTAAAGTTAACAAATCGAAGGGTTTTAAAGTAGATGGCAGAAAAGGGTGTCTATTCCTCGGACGTCCCGAATCATATTTGACTCAACAATTAACACAAATGGTAGAGCCCCTGAGAATAAGTGAAATTCAAAAATTGATAAAAGGTTAAACTAACATAACTAGGAACGACTACCAGAGTATAATGTAAAAATAATTCTTCAGCGCAAAGGAGGCTCTTGTTCCGTAAAAGCTCATTACGCACTAAAATGCTAAAAAACTTTAAGTGTATAGGGGTCGGATTATTCTTAAGGATTTTTCGCGAACGAAAAAAATGTTGTCCGCTTAATCGATGCCTTTGGTAGCATTAAAAGAAACTTTTATATTATAAGAAATGGCTTAATTACGTTAAGAATGATTACACTACGTACCAACACTTAAAAAATTTTATCTTTGTTGATGAGAAACGTTGCCATTAAATTACCTAAAGAGCTGTACGGCATTACATAATTAGCCATGGTCACTTTACATCTAAGACTGTAAGATTTTAAGCGACTAAAACTAAATTATTTCTATTAATCATGAGAAAAAAATATATTATTTTTATTATTCTAAGCATCTTTCTAAATATTTTACAACACTATACTGACAACAAAAGGGGTAATGAGGGTATTGAAGAGATTTAACTTTAATGATAAGAAAGTTTAAAAAACTATGCATCTTACAGAGAACTTGAGACAGTATGACATATCAAGTTCTAAACAGGTAAAATTCCCAAGGCAGAATGTTAGCTCACTAACATTAGGATCTTTTTAAGAAATTAGTTAAAGGTCATAGTACCTTTACTAAAGAGGTTGTTACCTAACCTTAAGGATTTTATAAAGCACAGTGTAAGACATTAAAAATGGTTTTAAGACAGTCAAACGTTTAAAATAAGTTTTTCTAAGGGTAACAATTCGAGTTATTCTAAAGCAAGCTAAGCTGCTCGAAACAGACAATGAATCTATACAAAAGTTATTGTACTAGTAAACGGCGTCCTATAATGACATGAGGGCAATAAAGACAGGTAATTATTGTCTTCTAACAAAAAAAACCAAGATATTTCGCTCTTGAAAACGCTTTAAGGTAGGATAGATCGTGAACTGTTAGAAAATCTTAGGATAGTAATAAGCCTACCTGTTTATGATAATTTGATAGTCCACCCTTACGCTAAATATATTATAATTAATAATTAAGAGGTAGATTAATGTTTCAATGCCTTTCTTATTCATAACAAAGGAGCTGTTAACCGGTAGTCCTATAATAATACAAAAAATGCTTAACCATGATTAATTTAGGGCAACGATATAGCGTGTACTTTTCATTCCATGATTTCTTTATAAAATTTTATATCTGTTCGTACTCCCTTTATAAATCCTTATAGTATTCAGTATTTATATTATGAAGACTCTTTTGTTATGTTTTTTATTTCCTAATAACAGTGGCAATAAAGTGATAAACCTAAATTTAGTAATAGTATTTTAAAAAAACTAGCTTTTCCCATGAGGTAACCGCCCTTATGAGCTTTAAGGCCTAACTAAAACTTTCAAAAGTGTGGTGACTTTTTAGTTTTTAACTTATTTTCCCCCTAGAGTTCTTTTTTTTTTATTTGCAGTAAACTCAAATGCGCACCAACTATTACAGATTAGGTCGCGCTCCGAAAGCGCGGCGTAGGCTAATTAGACATTTGGTTAATTTTTACTCCTGAACTTTCTGTTTTTCAGTATTCACTCTGAATATTTTTTGCTTTACGTTTAATAGGTGTCGAACCTTATCATGCACGAACGGATAGTTACAACTTGGAGGAGAGCGCAAGTTACTCATAAAATAGCTGATAAAGTATATTACGGTCTATTTAGTTAAATATTTTATAAATATTGAACTAATTATTTGGAGGAGGCTTAGATTTTATTTCATGTTTAACGTTAAATAGATTATTCATCTTGGTACTAAAAAAACACCGGCGGCACTTGACCAGATTAAAAAGTTTTTATATGTAAGTCTAAATTTGTTTTATACGTAGTTAACTTAATTTTTTTATCTTTTATTATCAATACCAACAGACTCAGGAACAAACTGACAAACTTTTGTACATTTTAGTTCCAAGGCTAGAGGGAAAACACTCCGGTAGTTTTACCCGCTGTTTAAAACTTCACCCAAGAAAATGTTCTTCGAATTAAAATTTGTATAAATTTCTTCTTCCTCTCTTTCTAATTTAGACGATAGCTCTAAAATGGGCGTAGTAGAAATTTTAAGAAATGAGTTTCCTGCTTTAAGGCCTTTAAAGGAGGTGAGAAAACCATATAAATACGACGAAGCAAAACGGCTGATAATAGAAGAAATTAAGGCAAAAGTCCTCGCTAAGACAAACAAGTCGATTTGAAGTTTGAAGTAGATGATTCTTTTAAGTAGTTGCTTTTGTCTACCATATTTAGTGTATTAAAAAAAGTTTTTTCTATTTTTTGTTTTCACAATATTTTTATTTTATTAACTTTTTAAATTTAATAAGTTTTAAGACTGACACCAAATTAGTGACTATTTAGTATTAATTGTAAACATAAGAATTGTACAATTAATTTTTAGCTAGTCTTCGCCGTCCCACTGTGGTAGGCCAGTTTTGTTACTCATTAAAGGCAAATCTTTTGCTATTCCTTTAAATCTGCTGGATATATTTTAATTTTTTAAGTTTTCGCAAAGTACAAATTATACAGTTCGTTAAAGTCATTTTCTTCTCTTCCGCTTGATATGCAGTCTTCAATTAGTTTGCGGTGGAGTTTTAAGAACTTCTGATTGTACATTTGTAAAACTGCCGAGTTCCAAAAGACTTTTTAATGTTCAGTGGCCGCTGTTTTAAATTTTTTCTTTCCTTTTGTTGCTCTGTGATCTACTTTATAGTAGTTGAGTGTATTTATGCTTGCTTTGTGCAGGGCGGTGCGTATCGTTACAGTTAAAACTATTTAAATTACTTGTTAGACGAAATCTATAGTAGTAGTGACACAGTTCGTGCGTGTTTTGCGAGGTTCATACTATAACTTTTCAACTTTCAGCGTGTAGCAGTGAATTAAGAGCATAGTCCTTTGTCCTAGTTACTTGGTAAAGTATTCTTTGTTTGCCTAATTCCTATTAAAAGTGCTACAAGCGAAAGATGCAAATGCCATGGTTGGGCCGAGTTAACTTACAGCACAATTTAGAGGAAAGAGAGTTTGAGCCGCCCCTTTAACTCGCCGCTACATAGTTTTTGTGCGACCGGTATGACAACTTAGTCTCCCAAATATGTTGCCCATGGACAACACGGGCAGGCAGCACCACGCTTCGTGATAAAAATGTCTCTGCTTTTTTCTGCATTAATAATTACCTTTTAACTACATCGCAAAAGTGATTAGGTAACACTGCGGAAGCTGGCACACTGAAGTCGGCCACTTTGATGTAGTAACTCGTCGTATTTATGCATAAGGCGACTAGTGTGGGGGTTTTTCAATCTTAAGCAGGCCGTCACACAACGCGCAAAGAGCAAGGCAAAGGAGGATGGCCTTTCTGCGACCCTGCTGTTAGTTTTGGGAGCAAGTTGCCATCGCCCAGAGGTATGAAAAATGCTGTCCTTAAAAGATTGTTTGAGCCACTTTTAAAAAACCGGAAGGAAGCTACCTTGTGTCAATCCGATCAAAAGCTTTCAAGAAATAAGGGAGATAGCGGTATGGGTTGCCTAATTTGTTAAGGGGAGGAGCTGTTGCTTCTTTTAATATCCATGCAGAAATCCAAAATGAGATGCTGCCTAGAATGGCTCGCGTCAGCAAACAATTTTAAGGAAGTGTATTATAATGGCTTCAGCTATAACTTTTCTTATAATAAAAAGTAAATACATATTTCTATCTGGGCAATAACATATTTATATCTACTATTAGTTCGCCTTATCCGTATACGGTTCTTCGGTCTAACTACCGCTTTGTAAAGGCATTCTCAATTTCACTACATATTTCAGGCAACTATTGTATCATTTTTGGAGCGCGTTTTCTAAAATCTAAAAGCTACCAAATTATCTGTGAAAATATCATATAAAAATGTTTTCGTAACTTAAGAAAGCTGACTTGAAAATTTTCCTGTACCAATTACCCGAATCGTTTATTAACTGCATTTTGCCGTTTGGAAGTCATATTTAATACATACATGTACACACTATTAATTATTACCGTCATATTTTTCCACCTATAAAAATCGTAGGATGCTTACTTTAAGAAGGCAGGAAACCATTTGGAAGTAACAGTTACAGGATTGAACAATTTACTAAGTCACCCCGGTTAAACACTGAATGCCACGTGTCAGCGTTTGTAACTAAATTCTGAGTCTTCCTGTTCTGCAGCCAACAGGTTTTATAATTCAGTTTGTAACGTATTAGCTAGCTGAATGCCAGCCAAAAAAAAAGGGACGATAGCAAACTTTATAAAAACGAAAATGTTTAATTGGTTTAAAACTTTTTTTTATTATAAGACTTATTATAAATCGCTACATAAAATAAGTGTACCGAGATCCCTCAGACTTACTAGCGTTAACGCTATGACCAGTATAACTGTAAACTCTCAATTCTTACCAACGGTTATAAATAAGCAATGCACCTATCTTTTACCCTTATCTCCACCTAGCCTATCTTCTCAAGTACGACTTGATAATAAAAAAGCAATTAAAAAATCAATTTTTAGTGTAACTTTGCTAGAATTAATAAAATTCGTTGAAAAGTGTGGAGAACGGAATTTCAGAACAGAGCAGATTATTGGAAATCTCTATAAGAATTTCAGCTCTTTCGAGGACATGACTTTTATTAGTAAACGTCTTCGCAAAATATTAGCAAGTGAATTTGAATTCAGCGGGTTAACCCTTATAAAACAAGTTTGTAGTAATACGGATGGTGCATTTAGCTGCTGCTGCGTTTTTTTGTTTGTTATAATTTTTTATATATTAAATTAAGGAACTGTTAAGAGAGCCTATAAGTTATCCTCTGGAGAAATTATAGAATCGGTTTTAATGCCGTTCGAAGGTCCAGCCAACGTCAAATCTATATATAAAAAATTTGTTAATTTTTTTGTAGGAAGATTCACAGCTTGCATAAGCTCACAAGCCGGTTGTGCTATGAATTGTAAATTTTGTGCGACTGGTTACCTTTTAAATACGTATAATTTTTTAAATTGACTTAGTAACTTTTTAAGAAGTGCAAATAATACTGTTTGCCTTGCTTCTTGGCCGAGTTCTTTATAGAACCATATTATCGTCTTTTTAAGGCTTATTGCTTTTAAAGTCACCTCAACTGCTGATGCAGCTTGAGTCAAGCTCTTTTTTTTTTGACAATATTCGTCTATGATCACTCAATTTATACGCAAATTTGATTGTATCTTTTGCAGGACAAATGGGTTTTCGCAGGAATCTCACTTCTGACGAAATTTTTGAGCAAGTCGTCGTCTTCCAGCGTATTCTTTCCCCCGACTACCGCATTTCCAACGTGGTTTTCATGGTAACCCTCCTTGCCTCTAATTCTTTGATTAATCACACTTTATTATTTTGTAGGGTATGGGGGAGCCATTTGCAAACTACAAGTAATTATCTTAAAGGTCATTATATAAAAGTTATTGAATTATTGCAGAAATGTGATGAAGGCCTGTGCGAAAATTACCAGCGCCCTTAATATTGGACAAAGACATATTACCATCAGTAATTCAAAAAAATATTATTTTAACTATTTTACTTTGCGTGGTATTTATACGTTTTTATAGGCACTGTCGGTATTGTTCCAAAAATATTGCGTTTTGCACAAGAAAAGTTTCAGTACAAATTAGCTATAAGCTTGCATAATCCCTTCACGGAAGAAAGGTGCGTCGTACCAAACACTATCTGCTGCGCTATCTTGGCACAGATTCTAATTAGGAAGCAAATTGTACCAATTACTAAGAAATATTCAGTCGAGGATCTTTTTGAAGCCTGTTATTCTTACTGCCGGCAAACCAACAGGCGCATCACTTTTGAGTATTGCCTGATTCCAGGCATCAACGACCACGAGGAGCACGCGCGAAAAGTACTTCTCTATTTATAAATCAGTCGTCGCTGTTGATTTCTGAATGCAGCTCGCTTCCTTGTTAACGCCCATAAAACTATTATACCACATTAACTTAATTGCTCTTAATGCTACTCCAAAATTTAAAGGTATGAAAGTTATTGAAAAAACTTTTAAAATAATAGTAACCGTATGTTTCTTTTCAGTAAATTCTAAAGATGTAGATGTGTCTGTTAAAAAATTTACCGCTTTCTTGAATAAATTTTACGTTAATAATGTCACTGTGCGCTCTAAAAGGGGAATTGACATTGCAGCAGGTCACTGATTATTTTTTAGCCTCAACGCATTACATATACAATAAATTACAGGCTGTGGACAACTGGGGGCGGATTGAAAGAGACGAACCCATTAAATTGACTAAACGATTATAAACTTTGTCAAATAAACTTCTTTATTAACGGATTTTGTGTTATTGCAAGCTTAACAAATTTATGCTCACCCGCGCGGTACAGGGCAGAAGCCAACCAGTAGAGCGTTACACCCGCAGGCGCATGCCCTCCTATATACACAATTAGAAACACTGTGCATCGCGAGAGCTGGGCCATAATGCGGGACAAGCGACCAGAATCCTTGTTAATGCTTTGCTAAGATGAAAAGTTACTATTAAAAAAAAATTAAAGGCTCGTCGTATATTCACCTGAATATTATAGAGATAGACAATTCCCGTTATAACGGGAAGAAGGAAGAGGGGGTCCGGAGCAGTCAGATCGTAAAACCAAAGGAACCCTTCTGTGTTCATCCCGTTTGCGGGCCCCCTGCTGAACTCGCTAAGAAAGAGCCTCTATTATACAAATAAATGCTATAAAACTTACTTTTGTTCTAAAAACCAAATTGGCTGTCCGCATAAATGTCTTAAAGCCTTAATTTACACCCTTTCGAAAAAATTCGTAAAAATACTAACAAAAGATACCAGGGAGACACCGACCCAGACGGGAATCTGAACCCAAGTAAGGGCTAGTAACCTCAAAGGCGAGGCTTTGCGTTTTTTTAATAAACTTTTATACTTGTATATTCCCTGATATTAAAATAAAGTTTTTATTAATAAATAGAACAAAAAACTTGCTTTACCAGAGAAGAAGCTAAACGTCTTCCGTTATCGGCTGCCTCAGCTGAATTCGGACCGCTTAGCAGAGAAAGAAAGCGCTGATATTATAAAACCTTAATATGTAAAAAGTAGATTCAAAAATGAAGTTAAAAGTACTGCTTGAAACAGTATTGTAAACTTCCAGTCGCGCATTTCTTTTTTTAAAGTACAAAGGCGCTTAAAAATAATTTCTTGGTAAATAGCCAACGGAAACGTCAAAAATGGTCGCAATAGTAAAGTACATAAAACGATGACGCCCCTAAAAGTAAAGATTTCCGACTGATAAATTTAACCAAAAAATACGAAAATAGTGAAATTAACTATAATGAACATTAATTAAAAAAAAAGGCTCACCACCAAGGCAAATTAACCATGTTGTGTATGGTTACTAAAGTTGTACAAGTACCGGATATGCAGTCGGTGAAAACCGAGTATTTTCTTCGACAGTTAAACAGTTTGAAAGGATAACTAGAATGAATTGAGCCACTAGTTTGAAGTGGATAAACTGAGTATTTTCTATTGTAATGCTTGCTGTAATATGAACATAAACGACTCGATTTAACGCTAAAGTATTTTCGGGCATAACATAAAGAGTTTCTTTTAATTACACCAGTCGCTTTTTTAAATGAATAATAATAAGAGGGACTGGTCATTCAAATATGCAACCCCTCTGTGGCCTGGAGTATTTTTTTAAAATACCATAAAAAGCTTTAGCTGTTTTAATAAAACTAATGTTGATCGATCGGAAAAATCTTCCGAATGGGCTGTGGCACATGGCAGATGAATGGACTTCTTCAGCGTGGGCTAGCTGGTGTTATGCTTTCTGTGCCTTCTCTTGTTTAAACATAATAAGTTGCTGAGGCGGTCGGAAATTAATGTCTTTAGTTTTTTTTTGGTAATTTTTTAATTTGCTGAAAGTTATTTTTAACTAAAGCAATTTTTCTATTTTTAACATAAAGTTTTTAAAAGGATATTCTTGTTAAATGTTTTTACCGCCTCATTTAGCTGTACTATTTAAGCCAAGGGATCCTATCCCCTACTTACCTCCGGGTCTCTTTTTTTTTCTATAAAAAGGTTATTATATTTTACACTTTTTTTTTGATTTAGGTAAGTTGTCTCACGAAAAGAAGTTTCCTCCTTACAGTGGTGTTGCAAATTTAGTTGCCCATTTTGAAAATCCTCAAGATACACCTCCGCCCCATAAAATTAAAACACTTGAGGAATACAAAGAGGAAAAAGTAATCTTTTTTAATTTTTTTTTAGGTTTTTTATCTAATTAAATACTTATTTTTCCATTTAGAGAAGAGCAAAATGTTTACAAACTGACGAGAAACTAAAGGAAGAGATTGCGAAATGTGTTTATTTTTTGCTCTTCTATTGATCATTTTACAGTTAACTAACTAATTTAGACAAGCCAAAAGAGGCCGAAGGTTTAACCGGCGATCCCTTCAAAACTCTTTTTGTTGCACGCATTGTAATACACTTCGTATTTTGTTTCTGCCAACGCTTTAATTAGTTTGTTTATAAGATTCAACTATTAAATATCTTCATTTCCCTAAGTCAGAACTATGAAGTTAGCGAATCCAAACTTATTCGCGAGTTTGAGCAGTTTGGAAGAATCAAGCAGGGCAAGTTGGTCTACGACCGGTTCTCTGGAAAATCGAGGGGATACGCTTTTCTTGAATTCGAAAAGGAGGAAGACATGCTTGGTAGCCCATCATCTAACTTTTACCACGTTCACCTTTATTTAAAGCCATCTTGGTAGTTGCCTACAGAGAAGGTGACGGCATGAAAATCGAGGGCCGGAGAGTTCTGGTGGACGTTGAGCGGGGACGAACCGTAGAAGGCTTTCTGCCGCGCCGCCTGGGTGGTGGTCTCGGTGCAACTCGTAAAGGTCTGTTTTTAATTTAGCAAATTTTGCTTTTATTATTTTAAAAACAAACAGGCAAGCCGGAGGAATGTGTCAAACATTCTGGCCGCGAACCTGCTAGACTTCGATCGCCTGACCGCCGCGATTCTTCCCGATATCACAGTACTGATTGCCTATCTTTACTTCATTTAAGCTAACATTGTAGTGTTCTAAGGTGACAGAAGACGCAGTAGCTATCGTGATCGTGACGATCCGGGGTATAGAGGCGAGTCTCGCTCTTCAAGATCGGGTCACCATAGAGATAGTGAAAGGGATCGTGATCGTGGTTGGTTTAGCTTTAACACCTATCTTCTTTGGTTTTTTAAAGAAAGCCTATTTACACTCGGGCAGGTGGGCGAGTTAAAGAGAGGGAAAGAAGGCGAAGTCGAGAGCGCGAGAGAGATCGTCCCCGCGACCGTGATCGTGATCGTGATCGTGATCGGGACCGCGAGCGCGATAGGAAAAGATAGCTAAAGTCGGCTGCTCTCTATTGCACATAATTTTCTTTGTTTCTTTCCTGTGTGACTACATGCACTGTTACGTGCGTACAAGCCCACTTATTACACGAGGTTAGAGCTGATAATAAATAGTTTAATTCTAATAAATTTGGCCTCCCGTTTTGAAGTGCTACGTGGTTTCACTGATTAATTAAGCAAGATAATTTTAATAACTATTGTTATAGCTAAGAATGTAATAGCCCTTTGCTCTTCCTATTGAGACTTCGAGCGTTTTTTGGTTAAGTTTTTTTTAGTCAATTATCTTTGAAGTTTGGGTAGTAGCTCTGCTTGGTACAGTTGGGTAGCTAAGTTTTTTCCTCACAGTTTTGTGGAATTTGGTTTCGTCATTCTTACAGGTTTTAAGCCTAGAGAAAAGGACGTGGCCTCCCTTTAACCAGTACAAAGGGTAGCGCTTTGCTAAAAGCCATGTTTTTATATTACATTTTGGTGCCAGTTGTGTGAATATTGCAAGATGAGAAGTTAACTACAAATTGCTAATAAAATAACGAGTTTTTTAGGTGTATTATCAAACCTTTTGAAATTCAAGCTGAGTTAGGTAAGTTACAGTATTTTATTAAAGGTAAGTTTCTAAGGGGACTATTACAAAAACTTAGGCAAAAAAGTACGTTTTATTTAGTGATACTTACCAAGTTAAGCTTTTTGTTAGTTATATATTGACTTGATATAGCCTCAAGAAGTGTACACTTGCCGAGTTCATAATTTGTAAAAACACTGGAACACTATTTGGTCGTGAGCCTCCACTCACGATCAATAGAAGTTTAATTTCAGGCAAGTATAATAGAGGTTACAATAAACTTGTTTTATTATAGCGCTAAAACCTTATCAAATATAACTTTTAATATTTTTTAGTAATTACTTGAACAAGTATTAACGGGAAGGGAAAATAAAGGACGAGATAGCCGGTTACTACTCCTACTAGCACGCCTAATAAAACATCAGTTACGTAATGTCTCCCTAAAGCGACCCGAGAAAGAGCCATGACGGTAGCGTATACAGCCATTATAATATTTAAGTAAATAATGACTAGTTTTACCGCCACTGACGAAAACTTTGCATATAAAATACGGCTAAGTGAACTGTTAATAATAAAGAAAGCTATATAAACAGATCGAGAGGTGTGACCTGAAGGACAAGAGAATTGATCGACTGCATTTAAAGTTAGAACAGTATCTTTTTCGTCATAAGAGGGACGTTTTCGACGAATTAATAATTTCGAAGCGCAAACAATCAACAGTTCTAAGAGTAGTCCAAAAAAAAATAAAAGGGACGATTCTAAAGATTGTTTTTGAAAAGTTGCATCTATTTACGTGGAAAAAATAAATTTTGAAAACAAAAAAAGGAGGATAAGGTGACCATTTTCATTGGCACATAAATATATTAAATGCGAAGCAAAAGCGAACCACAGAATTCCATGTCCAGAAAATTCCAAGAAAATTAATAACCAACGGCAACCCACGTTATTTTGGTACCAATCGTGTATGTAACGAGATAGTTTATAATCTAAAAGCAATAGCTGTTTAAATATATTAGGTATAATTAGAATCAATTTACTTTCTTAAAGCCAAAAATTATATATAAAACTCTAGTTCCGCACCTGCCCCATCGCCAGAAGATTCAATAAAAGTAGCTCTAAAGAAGGTCACGGCAACTGAGGTTTGGAAGAAGCTTGAACATACCACCCATATATGGTAAGCCTTGTATTCAGTACAATTTATATATATGGAAATTTTTATTCGTTTATATTACTTAAATGTACAGGCGTGCCATGTTCAATTTTGTAGTCTTCTATCGTTATACTTAGTATAATAATGTTCTCGAATGAACCTTTTTTTAAAAATTATTACCGTTTCTTAAGGAACAGCAGTTAAAAAATTATGCATGAATAATCAATTTTAAAAAGTAACAATCGCGTGCGGCTGTTAAGGACTGCATAAACTGCCGTTTGGAGGGAAAATTCACGAGGATAATATTCCTTGAGAGATGACCTTGATATTTCTTTAGCTCGATAAACTTCATTTGAAAACATTCAACTTCTCTTTTTTTTAGCAAAGCTTTTTATTGGTCACACTATTTTATTTATATAACTATTTATCTATTTCATTATTCTTTCAATATTTACATTATTATTAAATTGATTTTTTTAATACTTTTTTTCTTATTTTGATTTTTCTTTTTAATTCTCTCATTTTCTTTCCTCCCATAGATTTCACTTCTAACATTGCAGCGAACAACAAGGACTTATCACTACTTTGTAGCCGCAAACAAAGAACTTAAAAGGAGCTAGAAGAGTTTTAATAACAAAAGTATAGCAGTTTGAAAAAGAAAAAAAAGTGATGAAAATTTATTAAAAGACGGAAAAAACCTTTTGAGGTGAATAATAACATAGCTACTACCGATAATAAGCCATATACCGCTCCTCAAACTTTGGAAATCACGGAAGCGTATATCATAGATATATTAGAGGATAGCGATATGCTGGATGTCGTCATAGACAATACAAATGATATTGCTAATTGCATAAGAAAATAACCACAATAATAGTAATTAAATTTTTACAAAAAGTAATTTTGTAAGTAAACTAACTTAAAATTTGATGAACGCTGTAATTATAAAAATAGCAATAATAGGTGTATTAACAAGGATAGCACTAATAATAAAGATATTAATGAAACTGGTAATAGTAATAATAATTATAATGATAATATTACATCTAGAAATAATGGTACTAGTAATAATTTTAATAATACAATTAAAGTTTGTCCCTCCGGTTACCAAACGCGCAATGACTTCTGTAGCAAACTTTCCTATTTAGTCTCTTTTGCAAAGAACTAGAAGCATGGAATTAGGATATATACGCCTAGTGAGCAAGACTACAGAGTTTTAATTTCTCTTTTAGCTTCAGAAAAATTTGATATTACACTTATCGCCTCCCTTCTGAAAAAGAATTTAAAGTTGTTTTTGGCGGTAATGAATATAGGGGGGGGGGTTAAATGGAATTGGAAAATCAAGGCTTCCATCCCACCGAAGTTAACTAACGGGAAAATATGATCAAAACGAAAGAACCTTCGACTAGTCTCGATGAACTTATTGTTAAACTAATAGTCAACTCTTTAACTGTAGCGATAAGTATTCATATATCGAAATCGATTAGTGATTTAATTTTAAAACTTAATAATGGCAATGAAACCACCAGTAAAAGCACCTTAAAATACTACTGGAATGCCGACAAAAAATCAGAGCTTCATAAGATGACCAATAATTGGATATTGACTTCATTTTAATATCAGAGTGCCATATGAAAAACGGCAATAAGTTTTATATACGAAATTATAATATATATCGGCAAGATGGGGGAAACATGGGAGGTGTAGTTATACTTATTAGAAGACATTTAAAGCGCTCATTATATTTATAAAAATTTAAAAATTATGAGGTACCGGCGTATGCTCCACTATAAGAAAACTTGTTTTAGCAAATATTATTTCCTGTTATAAGTCTTCTGGGAAAGAAATTTTAAAGGACGACTTTGATAATTATTTAATACAAACATGGTCATTGTTTATGAAAACCTAAATAGCAAGCATTCTTCAAGGACAGCAGGAAGGACAAGTCATATGGCAAGATTCTAGAACATTGACCGGAAAAAAATAAAGTTTTTGTTTTAGCCCCCTTTGAACCCAACACATCGCTCAACTTATGACTCCTTTGATAAGTTAGAGATAAAGATAGCTTTATTAAAAAACATTCCGGTTCCTATGCAGATTATTAACCTACATGGATTATTATCAAATCATGATCCGGTGTTATTGCTGGTTGGAGGTTTAAGGCGTGCCAACACGGAGAGGAGACCCCAACGGAATTTTTTTAAGAACACAGTGGTTAACAGGTCACCATTCTATTCGATTCCCTTCTATTCGTCTGAAATTGATGCTGCTCTCCCTCCTTTTGAAAACACGATAAATTAGTCAGTAAACTCATCAACTACTCAGAAAATTGTAAATAACTTTAAATTTTTCCTTCTCCCTCACCTTAAGGAACTTAGTAATAAACGTAAAAGATCAAATAGATTATTAATGAAAAGACAAGCCCCATTTTACAAGTTGGTCTTTAACAAAATAAGTAATGCGGTTAAGTGCGCAATAAATGCTTTTTATAAGAAAGTTACGTTCTTTAAATCCATCCGATAATTCTACATGGAAATGACAAAATACTCAAAATGCAAAGAAGAATGATCGATATATCACTTTTCATGGACAAAGGAGATATGCTTATTTCAATAAGGAAAAGGACAACTTATTTGCAGAAAGCTTACCCCCTCAACGCAGGCCCTCCACTATCTTTTGGTATATAAAATCGAATGCTAAAATATCTTCCTCTAGTGACTGTTGTGTACCTTTCAAAACTAATTAATTCGATTTTTTAACAGGGTTACTTTCTTACAAGCTGGAAACGATCAGAGGTTAAATTTTTATCAAAACGTAGCCATACTAGCACTATGCTAAAGATTTTCGACCAATTAGTTTACTTTCATGTGTTGACCAAATTACCGCTGAATCTATAATACTCTCCAGATTACAAAAATTTCCAAATTCTACTGATTTTGCCCCCTCTTCCTCCCCCCCCCTCACATACACACACACAATTTGGCTTTCGAGGAGGCCACTTCATAAAACAGAAATTGTGAGGATCGTAGAGAACAATACAAAAGCTTTTAATTACAAGAATTGAACAGTTATGGTATTTTAAGATATTGAAAAAGCTTTTGATAGAGCATGGCATGAAGGACTTATTTATAATTAATTATATATAAGTTGTTAGAATACCTTAAGCGCGTGCTGTATTTATTTCTTTGCAGTAGACCTTTTGTACATTTAAAAGAAGACGTGCCCGCCCCTAAAATCCTTAAAGTTGGCTATTACCTTTTATAATTCTCCCTATATACATGCGATATTTCCTCTCCTACCAACGAAGTTTTTCTTGCTCTATACGCAGACGACACTGCAAAATAGTCCGAAATTAACTGCATTAGCTATTGAATATGCGCAGACTTTTCTTT